ATACCTAAAAATATGAATATTAAGATTAATAATATAAATATCAAAAGAGTCGAAACATGTAAATATTTAGGAATATTCTTTGATTATAACTTAAAATGGAACAAACACATAGATTTTATATTAAAAAAAACTAAATACCTAACATACATTATATATAAATTATCTAAATTTATGAATTCAGAAACACTAAGCATGATATACTATGCATATTTTCACAGTATACTAAGCTATGGAAATATATCGTGGGGTGGAGCCTATAAAAATAATTTAGAGCCATTACAAAAACAACAAAACAGAATATTAAAAATTGTCTACAAAAATACTTTTGTACAAAACGTTCCTTTAAATCTAAAACAAATATTTGCATTTGAATCGTTAAAATACCATTATAATCAACTCAAAGAAAAATTCAATATATCCACAAGTAAAACTAGGAAAAAAATAATACCTCTACCAAATATCAGTAAAACCGTAAGTAACATGAATAACCACATCGTGGCCATAAGAATATACAATGATCTGAGTGCCGACCTTAAATTACTAAACACCAAAAGTGCCTCATTCAAATTGAAAATAAAGAATTGGATTAAAGCCAATATACTAGGATAAAAACAAAAAAAGAAAAGAAGACTGAAAAATCGACTGTACAAAAATCACACAATTAACTATTAACCTATAAAGGTCTATTAATGCCAAATAAAAATAAAATTGTTATCACTGATTAATTAATCTTAGATATAAGAACCTATATATGTGCAATAGGTATTATTACTTAAGATACAAAAGATCTCACCATAAAATGTTAAAATATATATGGTCAAAGATAGATAATTATAAAAACATTACATATATAACTAATATCATCTTAATTAAATGTAAAATAACATTTGAGACAAACTCATAGATTTAGTATTAAGCTTCATATATTACATTAACTGTTATTTTAGTTATAAGCTTTCTTCTACTCTCCTCTTTATCTTTTCTTTAACCAGACTGCGAACAGGTAACTTATTACCTCTGCAGAATTACTGCAACTTATATGTAATAATATATGTATGTATGTAATTACTTCTGGTTCAAATAAATAAATAAATAAATATAGTATTACATACATTTATTGTTCACAAAAACTTTCCGCATGTATGTCTGTTATCAATAATCACTATTTTTGGTGTTTAGCTGGGCCTCTTTGTTTATCGAAGCATAAGGAAAATCAAGACAGAAGATTAGATGACGATTTTCCGACATTTAAAAAATTCAACCGATCTTTAGAATACACTTGTGATTCTGGCGAACCGGCACTTTTAGAAGTTACCCCCAACACCTCGTGGCCCGACATCGTCTACTATAATTCCTTCACGCAATCGAATATGGGATGGAAAATTTACGTGGTTGATAATTACGTAAAATCAAATTGTTCAGATATAAAATGTAACTTCTGGGTATTATTTCTTGTAGCAGTAGTCTCTCATTTGTTTTTTAAACAATCTTACAGATTGTTTATGTAAACAAAAAGCTGTGAACTGTATTTATAAAATTTTCCTTCAGGAATCCGTTACTGTGGTAACAGATAAACCTGACATCTAGACAATCCTTAAAATAAAGTATACGGATGTAGTCATGTTTTTTATTTTTGAATAGTAATAGAAAATTACTAAAAGAGATAAAAACAATTAACATAATAACCGTTTATTCAAAAATTATGTTTTTGTGTTCTCTGCATATCGGTACCTATTTACTTTTTCTTTTATTCATGAAAATACTGAATATTTACTTTTTCTTTTATTCATGAAAATACTGAATCCACAATGCTAGCGAAATACTCATCTTTAAGAAGAAAATTTCACGAATATACATTTCAAATCTCTAGGTAGTTCTGTTTGGAAACTGCGCGGGAAGACGTACTTTTTTTAAATTTTTCATAAGCTGATTTTATCTTACAATGTTAATTATAATTTTCACTGAAAATACATACTAACTAAAGCCTAGACTAGAACAAAATTTAGCTATTGAGGTAAGTGGGAGGAAGCTTTTGGAGGAGGGAGGTTTGAAATCAAAAACATTTTTTTGTTGCATTTTAGGGGAGCTAGCTTGATTAAAATACTTAATCTTAATATATATAAAAGAAATATGAGTGCTGTCAGCGCATGGCAAAGTAGTATTACGTGAATGAAAGTTAGTATCAGCAATTTCTTATGCTGCAGTGTACGATGTATTGCATTTGTGTGTTTCAAAATCTAATACAATTAGATCCTGTTATTTCTTGGAAGAAGTACCTATTGCGACAACAATTGAAAAAGAATGATGGCCGACAACTGCAACAATTAGAAAAGAATGATGGCCGACACTACGTCATAGTGGAGCAATAAACATGGCCGGGGGCAGGGGGAAGAATTAGTACTAATAAAAATAATAATAACTTAGTATACCTATGTATACCTAATACTTTCTAATCGTAAGTTAATTTTAGTAACAAGAAGAGGAGAAGTAACGATATGTTTTCTTAAGTAGTTGATAATAAATTTTTCTGTTTATCAAAAAAACTATCCATCAGATAAATTATAATATAATTACATCTGTTATGTAAAACTTTATACGTATCGTCATATACAGCATTGGTCTTGAAATTATTAAGTACTTAAGGAACAGGTGCTTATCTAATATTAAAAGATAAGATGGAAATACGTCAACGCATACGTAAAAACACACCCTCCCCTTTTAAAATAGTATTGTAAATTGTAAATAGGTACCTATTATAATACCTACATTCGTTGAATGGTTACTTTTTACTGTTACAATAAATATTTCACTTCTTTTTATTCGCCTTTATAAAATTGTCTTGTGCTACGTTATGCATATAAGTAAAAAATTCAAGTTTGTAAAATTGTGAATATAAATCACCCTGTATATGTATGTCAGACTTGAAATATTACTTACAGGGTGTAAAGTCTAGAAGTCACAAACATATTAGTTCACTTTTTACGTACATGTAAATTTCCTCTGTGTAATAGTTGAACTTTTTTAGGCAAATTTTAGACATTAACACTTAATTTTTGTTCATTTCACAACTATTAATTTTGTTATTATTATTTAGCTTAGTTAATCAGTTGGTAGTATTGTTTACTTTTACTTTAGTTGTCATCGTTGTCATAAATAATCAGGCATAATAATCATAATCTTGAGTGTTTACTTTGCCCTTGTGATACTGAATTTTACCTTATTTGATAATAAAGTTCATTTATATAGGAAGTTGCTGCACTATCCTTGATATTTTAAATAAAGGCGTTGTTTACTTACATTCATAAGTGAGCGACAAGACGCTATTTTAACTTCGTTTGGTATCGATGTTGTTGTCTTCAAATGTGAACGTGAATGAGAACTAAGATCAAAATGTGGAAAATGCCAAACAAAATAGATATTGTAAATCAGAAAGATGAGTGTTTTCACGAATTAATGGAAGAATGTAAACATTTACCTCCAGGAGCGAAATTAACCCTTAACCTTAGAATAAAATTGCAGAAGTTTACTCGTGAATGTAGAAAAGAAATAGTGAACAGAGTCAAATCAGGATGTGCCCCATTATTTATTGCATGCAAAAAAGGTCAGACAGAAATTGTAGAGTATCTAATCAATGTTTGTGGAGCTGATATTGAACAAAGGGGTCTTTATGAAGTCCCTGAAGATAGGTAAGCATCCTATTAACATGTATATTTCTCTTCCAATTTTTGGATTATATATGTTAAAGATCTGTCCATTGTGTAACTCCTTTGTGGTGTGCAGCAGTTTCTGGTAAACTAGATGTGATAAAGTGTTTAGTAAACAACGGTGCAGATGTAAATGCAGTATCTGATACAGGTTCTACTCCTGTTCGCTCTGCCTGCTTCATGACACATTTTGCAGTTGTTCAGTACTTAGTAGAAAAAGGAGCTGACATTAATAAACCAAATTATAATGGAGGAACCTGTTTAATAAATTCAGTGCAGAGTGTGACTTTATGTACTTTTCTTTTAAAAAATGGGGCACACGTTAATGCAAAAGACATTCAGAATAAAACAGCTTTACATTATGCAATACAAGAACATAGGTAAGTGGAATGTGTAATTATTTGTCTACAAGGTAATTCCTATATTTAAGAAATGATTGCTGATTTTTCTAGCTAGGATAATGTTCAATTTTTAGAAATTGATAATATAACTGGTTAATTCAGTTTATTTCTTTTTTTTTGTCATATGTAATTATGTTTTTGTGTTCTCTGCATATCGGTACCTATTTACTTTTTCTTTTATTCATGAAAATACTGAATATTTACTTTTTCTTTTATTCATGAANAGATTATTTCCTGTACCATTCTCACATTACAAGAAGTGTACATATGATTCAATTTCTCCATTTCAGAACTAACGTTTTAGAAAGATATTTTAATAAAGACTTCACATTAACGTTACCAGAAAAGAAAAAGTTAACCGACATAAAGTGGTTCGCAATTTACGACATTTGGAGCCAAAACACCTTTGGAGACATTTACATTCCCGAAGATTTTGAACCTCCAACTGTTCAAAAAATAGGAAAACTTGCTGCCAAAAGTAACATGATCAGTTCAGGAAAAATTGAAGTTCTGGACGCTAAAAGTATTAGAATAAACAATCTTTTCTACGATGGTAAAGCCAAAGACGCTTATTTTGTTGCTGGAATTGGCCCTTTGCCGAATTCAAAGGGGCATAAAATTCCAGACGAATATGGATAGTAAGTGTTCAATTAAAAATATAATTTGTACGTAATAGAATTAAACACAGAGAGTTATGAATTTTGGATATAAACGTTCTACGAATCTAAATATTTTTTTTTGTAGTCTAGATTCACTAAGGGCATATAAAAACCAAACAATCACTTTGGAATTACCAGGAGATTTAACTGTTTTCAATATAGACTGGCTAAGTATTTTCGATTTCGAAAACAAAGCAAATTTAGGTTCTATTTTAATAACAAGCGGTTTGAATGTTCCACCATCTCTCGTGAAAGTTATAGTAAGTACAACTATTTCTATTACTTATATAAAAAGATTTCTTAATTGCAAAAACAAAATTATTTTTTAAAAATTATTTCTATAACTGTTTCTGTAGACAAAAGAAAAAGTGATTCTTAAATGTGGTATTAAGAAAAATCCTAGGCAATATTAACATTATTTTTTTAATAGCCTAATTCTTAATCCATAACTTAATCATGAAGAAATTGCGAACGGTTCAAGGAATTTTGGAACATACTACTGAAATAGTTTCACTATGTCTTGATATTATCAGATTAAGACCTATTGTTAATTATTAACATCATATTTCAGTTTTTCTTCAAATTGTTTTGCATTTTACTTTTTTAAAGAAAACATAAGTAACGTAAAATCTGTTGACTTACTTAATTATTTTTGCAAAGGTCGATAGAATTGATAAAATTCGCGAATAATTTGTTTACCATATCAATGAATTACGTCTTTCGTTGACTCCGAAGAACAAACAAAGCAGAAAACATTTTTTTGTCCTTTTTATATTAAAACTAGGTTTTATCTGCGACTTTACTCGCGATCATGTCCTAAATACGTGTTAAAAATCATCGACGACCAGATAAAACTAATTTATCTGTCCCTCAGGAACAGTATTTTTTTTCTGGATAGAAGGCACCCCATGTCCTTTCCTATATCCCTGACAATAAGTGTACAAAATTTATGATAGGTTTTATCCTCGGCCTCCCTCGCATTGATGCCCTAAATGATCTTTGACGAGGATCATCGACGACAACATAAAACTAATGTTTCTATTGGACGAATCTAAACCCACTTATGGTAAGATATGGAATTTATTCCATATTTATTGATTTCAGCCTCATAAGAACGATTTACCAAACTGCTTACAACTTCATAGAGATTTTCAAGTTTCATGGGAAATCTTCGGACCTGCCATAACAATTCAACTTGCAGGACAAATTAAAGAGGATGAATATATGGCGTTTGGCTTGTCAGGATCACCAGAAAAAAGTCAAATGTTGGGGGCGGATGTTGCAGTAGCTTATATCCACGAATATAGAGGATTAGCAACAGATTACAACATTACAGCATTAACAGCGGTAAATATACCAAGAATAATAATTACTAAACGAACTTTTAGTAATTACAATTAAACTCTTACGATAGACGTATATTATCGATAAGGATGCGTATTACTTAGTACGTATTTTTGACCGTCTATAAATTGAATATTTTTATAGAAGTCCAAATTATTTTAGGATTTTTATTTTCTCCATTTTTAAGATATTATAGAAATCAAAACCAGATTGGTCGCAAAAAAGTAAAGTAATATCACAATCAATACCTTAATGTGGTACAATATCTAGATATAATTTATTGTAATACTTTCAAAATAGTTTCGTGAAAATCGTAATCTAGAATAAGAACGAAATCTAATATGATTGCGAAGATTTTCTGACCAAAATCCCTCAATTCCTATTATATTACTTCCAAAAACAGGTACTCAAATACAATGTGGGTACATAGAAAAAAATGCTCAAAATAACTCACCAAATACAAATACGTAGTTTTTCATAACATCAACCAACCTGTAATAAATATATAACACATATATTAACAGTCAGTAAAAAAGACAAACAATTATATATATTATTGAACAGATTCGCTCTCCTGTTGATCTAAATTCGAAGTGCAAGACAATTAATAAAAATTGAAGATATTTACAAAAAAATGTATATATCCAATGTATACGTTATGATCAATAGACAAAAATGTTCATTAGACGCTCTAATTAACAAACCATCTAATAAGCTAATTTTCGGCGATTACACGGTTTTTTACATGTTTCATTTGTTATTTTAAATACAACTCCAAACGAATGTTGTACTTATATTTTTTCATTAAAAACATAATTACCTTTTAATCAAAGTGATGAAGTTTTTCCTTGCTGTGCGTATTAATAATAAAACAATCACTAAACTTAGAAACACCAATCAATTTAACCGAAATTAAAAACAGAAAGACCAAAACTCTACTCTCAATATCCTATCACGGCAACGATTGTTCTTTTTCCTGCACTTTTATTAAACTGACTAAACTGTTCGTGTTTATGCAGTGTCTTCTACTATCGTAACAGCCTTTTTTTTAACACTGATTTCGTCACTATTTCTACTTTCGTTTGGCACTGATGTAGGTTGATAACAGATCCAGTTTTTTTACCATTTTTTTGTTCAACAAAACAAGCCTATTGGAATCTCGTAGAATAGAACACTATATAGAGTTTGTCACGAAAAAGTATGGTAAAATAATTGCATTTTGGTGGTACTTGTACTTACGTAATCATTGACATATTTAATAAAAGCGATGATGCTCAATTAATATAGAACTTATAATTAAATGTACATATATTTCTTTTTACACTTCTTTTAATCGCGTTTTTTACATACGATTCTATGTTAGGAAAAAGTAGATTGCATGGGTAATTGATAAATATTATAGATACCAATTTTGTACAAAAGCTTTCTCATTATCATTTTTTAGTGAATTATGTGTACTTAATATAAAATTGAGTTATTAACATTAAGTCAATAATTCTTTTAGTGCGTAAAAGTTCTGGGTCAATATAAAGGTGTTTGCAAAGACGAATTGGTGGGTGGTCAAGATAATAATCAAATCCACACTGCAGTACGCGAAAATGGTATTAATATTATTACGTACAGAAGAAGTTTAATATCACGTAAGTGAAGCAAATTTTTTTTATTTTTATTTCCTTTATTATATAAATTAAACTTTAGGATTCTTGATCAATTGCGTCCGTGTCTTATATTTAATTAAAGAATGTATTTTTTTACCGAAGCTGACACTGGAGATAAAGAGTTTCCTACAGAAGGGTCCGTCTATATTGTATGGGCCTTAGGTCGTCTTGACAAATCCAAAGAGCCAACATTTCACGATATTTATCCGAAATCTGATATCAAAATTGAGCTGAATAAAAAGGAACCGGCATCAAATTGCTTTGCATTTACAACAACCGACAGGAATTTAGTAGAAGTGTGGGAAAAAAATCAAATATTCGATAGAAATATTCGTACTTTCAATGCGTACCTTGGGCCTTCGGGAGGTAAAAAGGGTTACCAAGGAATGACAGGTAAACTGTAAATTACTTTATAATTTAACTTGTTACTTTTAATACTAAATATTTCCAAAAGTTGACGGATTGATTAGTACCTTTTTTGCAAGTTTTAAAAATGTGTAAAATTCCTGTCAAAAAAGCGGGAGAACTGTGTAACTTTTTAAAGCAAGACAAAAATATTGATAATACTGAAACAGTTAAACAATAAGTATATGTGTTAATTTGAGATGATACACCATGTGACAACAGCAACAATTTTTCCCTCATTAATTTGAGGTAGTTTGTAGTGGGTAAATAAAAAATCGAAAAAATGATTTCAAATTAATATTGCATATTAATCCACTATTAAGTAATTAACAATGTCATAGGATTTCATAGTTTCAAACCATTTTAAATTAAAAACAGTTTTTCTTTTTAGGACAACCATCAGCTCCATTGGCGTGGTACATAAACGGTCTTTTAGCGCCTGAGTTATGGCTCAGAAGAGGCTTAACATATTCGTTTAAAGTGAGAGGAGGCAACAATCCCCACAGTGCTGAGTTTTATCATCCCTTAATTATCACCGATGAACCGCACGGTGGATTTGACAGATTAACAGACGAAGCCCAGGCTCGAGTTCGGGTTCTTGCTGGTGTAGAATACTCAAGAAGAGGAAGACCGAGACCAACAGCAGGTAATAAATATACTTATCTTTTTACACACCAAACATATACATTTATCAAATTTATTTTCAATCTTTACCCGTTATAAATTACTTCAAGTTAATGAGAAAAAAAATTGTTGCTGTTGTCACACTCTCGCCGGGAATCGAACCCGCGACAAATTTTTAGCTTAATGTAATTTATAGTGGGTAAAGATTGAAAATGAATTTTCATATTAATATTTGATATATTAAGCACTATTAAATGTCAAAGTTATTAACTGTTATTTTAGTTATAAGCTTTCTTCTACTCTCCTCTTTATCTTTTCTTTAACCAGACTGCGAACAGGTAACTTATTACCTCTGCAGAATTACTGCAACTTATATGTAATAATATATGTATGTATGTAATTACTTCTGGTTCAAATAAATAAATAAAATAAATAATGAGAATAATAAGAACCGATCCGACGGGACTTGAACCTTGACGAAACTCTTGTACAAACTAGAATGGGTGGATCGGCTTGCGAGTTTCGATGATTTAAGGAGCCGAACTATAGGTTCAACCATATTGGAGGGGTTCTTAAAGAGAAACCAGACTAAGACAAGTCCCTGAAAGAGGGCAGCAGCTCGTTCAGTACTCAGGGTGGCAGAGATCACGAGGTCCGGTATGGCACCCTGAAGCACAATACTGCGATGTGGAAGGCAACGGGAAACCACCACATTATGATTCCGAGTACAACGTACGCAAAACTTAAATGATGGCGTCCTCTAGGGTAAAGCACTCCGGACGTAAACTAGTAGGAAAGTAGGGCAGAGTGTAGAAAGTTATTTACAAAAAAGTGATAGGATAGTTATAGTTACATTAAATTCAAAGCCGGCAAGAACGATATTAGTGCAGGTCTACATGCCTACATCATCTTACATTGATGAAGACGTAGAAGCAGTTTATGCAGATATAGAAGACGAGTTAAATTTAGGGAATGGACAGGAAAACCTAATAGTTTTAGAAGATTTCAAAGCAGTAATAGGTGAAGGTAAAGTGGGTGCAATAGTAGGTTCTTTTGGATTAGGCAACAGAAATGATAGGGGAGATAGACTGATAGAATTTTGCAATTTTTACATAAATTAACCGTCGCGAATACTTTATTCAACCATCACGTTAGGAGGCGCTATACGTGGA